CCCCAAAACCCCAAAACCCCAAAACCCCAAAACCCCAAAACCCCAAAACCCCAGATAACCCATTTCAAATTGAATAATAATATAATAGCTCAAATGGATGGTAAATCAAAAGATTCCAGAAGCACTTCGCGTGCTGCCAGGCCGAGTAGGTTATCAAAACGTAAACGTGCTCCAAGTAGCAAGGCAGAAGTTTCTTCAGATTCTGAGTATCGTTCAGTCCCTTCTTTCTTATTGAAAACTTACGAAATCGTCGAAAGCAAGAGATTTGATGATACCGTGTCATGGAGTAAGGCAGGAGACGCTTTTGTTATTTTCAAAACCAATGATTTCTGTGAAAGGATCTTACCAATGTACTTTAAGCACAAAAATCTTTCTTCCTTTGTCAGACAGTTGAATATGTACGGATTTCATAAGACCAAATATAAGAATAATGAACAGTGCTTTACTCATCATCTATTCCAAAAAGCAGATAAATCTTTACTCAGGATGATGAAAAGGAAGTCAAGGGATGCAGTCTCCAGAACCAAGCAAGAAGAGCCACAGTAAGTCCTCTCTAATCTTCTAGAATGGTTGAAACTGATCCTACAGGAATTGATCTGAATGGGAAAATAACTGAGCTAGAGAAGACAATAAAACTACAACAAGAACAAATTGCACAGCTCTTTGATGCTAATAGAACAATCAAAGACAATCTTGAGGAAAACCAAAGAGGTACCAAAAGAATCTGGGATAGCATGTTCGCTCTATACAGCGAGATAGAGAAAGGCAAGAAAGAAGAAGATAATGCAAGCCCTGGCCCAGACTATAAAGGAGTAGGCTACTTTGGCGAAAATGCTCAAGGTATGAACGATAAAAACAACTACAACATCATGGGGATGCTCAATGATACTAGCGGCAAGCTAACTGACCTTGGTCCGAACAAATCGATCAACAATGTTTATTATATCAACTGTAATAATTTTAAGAGGGAAAAGAAATCTAACCAGCGAGCTCTTTACTCAGAGAATAACATGATGGCAATAAAAGAAGAGCTTAAGGAGCACTCTATCAAGAGAAAAGGTGTGAAAGGGATGAGATCCCCTTCACCTAGTATCCCTGATCTTGACTCGAGAAGCCTGGATCTTAACCATAGGCCTCCATCTCCCTCATTCTTAGGGAATAGAGATCTATCAAGCGATGCTATGAGTGACTTTTCAGCTCCAAATCCTATTGATTTGAGTTATGGAGCTCAACTAATGATAAAAGGCGGAATTCCTTCGGTAACACTTTGCTCTTATTTCATAGATACCAAGCTGAGACCTGGACCAGATCCAAAGTAATCCTGAGACTAGTGCATTTCAAGCGATGCCTAGTGGAACAATGAAAAATTTAATCCCAGACGATGGGAGTGCAATAAAGAATACCAAGGCAAGGATCCTATCACCAAACAACTTAGCTTGAGACATCTCTAAAGACTTAGAATCAGTCAGTGATTTCTCTTCAAAGTAATAACTTCTTCCTGATTTTGAGCTAATATCGTGTCACAAAAAAACATTGCCATATATCCTTGATATATTTTGGGTATTCTAAGGAAATGATTGAGCATAATCTCTAAATTTCAGACCCAGTTTTCAAACATTTTGGAGGTATACCTAGGCTAGATGGTTTTCGGCTTCCGACCTTAGTGAAGAAGATATTAAAGTTTAGTTTACACTACATGGTTTTTACTCTTGGGTTATACCTCTATGTTCTTCATATTATAAGGATTAAATCAATTTAGTTAATTCGATTTGGGGTTTTGGGGTTTTGGGGTTTTGGGGTTTTGGGGTTTTGGGG